GTGTCTAGCTACTAGGAGAGATGCCTTCTGTTTCCTAATCCGTGCCGGTCGGTGCTCAAGTTGCCGCGTAGTGACAAGCCTTGGAGCGAGGTGGTCGCGTTTCCGATGGCGCTTGCCGTAGGCTTGCGGCAGTCCCGCGTTTGGGCTGCGCATGGCCTTTTTCCTCGGCGCATGGCGATACCATGGGTTTCGTTGAGATGTTTTGCGGACCGACGAGTGGGTGCTGTAAAGATGCTTGGCTGTTTGGAAAATGGCCTTCAGCCCGGTGGTCTAAAACAAACACTCCTGGCAAGGTGAGGAAAACAGGATCACAAAACGCAGGACTTAACGTTGCATAAAACAGGGGTAGCAGATGTTCATTGCCCAACAAATGGCGAGTTGGTGCAGCCTTCCTTAGCCAAATAGCCAAACATGCCACCAGGATGGGGTGGGAAGCAGTTCAAGAATCAATAGGAACATTAATATCAAACATCCCACATTAGTTCAGAATCATCGTACGTGCACGCAACCCCGTGGTTTATGATTGCTAGTTGTTAGTCTCCTTTGAGGTGTTGGGGCACTGCACTCCACCACCAGGCCAGTTTCCTGCCCTGAGGGTCTGGAACGAGCAGAAGGGCTTCGGCTTCATCGCCCCGTCCGAAGGTGGCGAGGATGTCTTCGTCCACCGGACGAGTGTGGCGGAGGGCGTCCAGCTATCGCCTGGGATGTCTGTGAGCTATCTGCCTGAGTGGGATGCCAAGAAGAATAAGGATCGGGCATCCAATGTGCTCCTTGGCAAGCGTGTCCAAAAAGTTAAACGCATGCGTTGGGCTTTTGAACTATTCCTTTTGGGAAGGTTGGGGGTGCTAACGTTAACCAGTTTGGGATGGAGGTTTGAACGCTGCCGCAGGCAAGTGGCCGAACCTCCAGAAGGAGAAAGTTCAGGTACAGGTGCAGGCAGGAAGTGCCGGTGACCAACTCATGAGCCATTGGGAAGTTGTAAACCTCATCAGGGCGCAAGCAGCATCATTTATGTAGCGACACAGTCCAGGTATATAGGATGGTGATGGTCCGAAGCTAGTCTTCCGAGTTGAAATGGCAAGATCAACTGGTGTCCCCTTTAGGTGAGGTGCAGTCTCATCATATTGTTGGCTCCTGGGAGAAGTGGAACATTCACAAGGCAGCGATGAAAGGTGATGATGCCTTAAGATCCTTGGCTACATATTCGTACAAAAGCGGAGGAAACCAGAAATTTCTCCGGCGGGGGTGCATCCTCAGCAAAGTCCCTGGGTTCTAGCTGGCGCACGGATTTGCAGGAAGTAATTTCGTGCAACATCGCATGACTGCAGTCCTTCAAACTCAACCAGCATGACTTTAACATCGAGAATTGACACCATCCCAAAACCCATCCACCTGGTGGTTGGCAAGGGACGGCTGGCTGAGGACATCGAGTAACTTTGCGTTCAGACGCTGCCAAGGGCAAGGGAGGCGACGTCCGAGAAGAGTTCCAAATTGTGGGGAATCAGAGTTGGGACCTTCGCTTTTACCCAGCCGGTGGTGACAAAGAGGAGCGCCTGGGGGTTTGTGTGTAGTTGTGCTTTCGGCAGCATAGGAAAGATGATCAAAGCAACTTTTTGCAAGAGAGAGAGAGAGAGACAGAGAACAGCTGAATAGATGTGAGTTTCCGCTTGGAATTCGGAGGCTGGAAGGCACAAGGTATCAATTCAACTCACAATGCTGTAGTCCTTTGCCTTCGACTTTGCTACCTCGCCAGGAAGTAGTGGTCCTGAAGCCTGGCGGTGCCGGATCCAAAGCGGCCTTGGGCTCCAAAAAAAAGGGTAGCTTGCCTGGTGTTTTGGCTGGGTCATGTTGCTTTGCATGGGCGGATTGTTGGAACTAAGTTGTCACACATGCTAAACTGTTTCAAGAGAATGAATTAACCACATAAATCTTTTGACCTAAGGAGGCACGATGCTTTCGAGGGTTCATATTTTGCCTTGCCACGCCACGCATTTGTTTGGTCAGTTGCCACATTGAACTTGGTCTGGAAACACCTGATCCGCTTCAGAGACGGAACCCAATAGCTGCAGGGCACACGTGGGCAAGGGTAGCGAACACGCAAGAGTAGTTAGTTTCCTTGTTTATCCAGCGCGCGCGAGAGAGAGAGAGAGAGAGATAGATAGATAGATAGATAGATAGATATATAGATAGATAGACGGACAGACAGACGGACAGACGGACAGACAGACAGACAGACGGACAGACCGACGGACAGACAGACAGACAGAGAGAGAGAGAGAGAGAGAGACCGAAGGAAGGAAAGAAAGAAAGAAAGAAAGATAGATAGATAGATAGATAGAGAGAGAGAGAGAGTGTAAGTAGCCTCCACCCAGGCCACGGCCGAAACTGGGCAGTGGAAGGCGCGACCGATGTCTGTGCCGTTTCAAGACGTTTCTCGCAGCCACCGCCAATGACTTGTCGTGGCAGGTACCGCTGGAGAGAGCTTCGACATCATTTTTGACAAACAGTCCATGATGGTCAAGAGCGAAATGGTGGAGTGAGAGGTTGTGGTCGCAGAAGGTGTACAAAGTTGCCACGCAGAGGACAACTGCTGCGTCATGAGGCAAGAATCGGTCGTAGCAGCTGGAAAAGATGTACACGATGGTTGCTGCTCGTGCTCGACACGACTTCTTGTGGATGGGGGGAGAACTCGTGGGACTTGTCTGAAATAATAGACCGGAATAGCAAAAGAAACACATTGAATCAGAGGGGTTAGGGAGCTTTAGATTTTGAGTCAGATCGCTCATAAACATGCCCACTGAATCTTGAGTGGCCAGGGCCTAAAGAAATTCTACTGCCACCGGGTTGCTGCCGTGCCTTTGATCCGCGCCAGCCCGCCTCTGGAGCCGCGGCTGTTCGGCTGTGGGGCATTGGCGACCATAGACAACATCATTCTTCCTTATTAGGTGTGAAAGAATATCTTTGAGGTCTTTGCAGTAAACCTCGTCCTGCTCCCCATAGCGATCGAGATTGGCTGGATCAGCTGGCAGTTGTAAGGCAGTTTCAATCACTCTCTTGATCTGCACCTCGGGATGGCCCACATGCTGTTTGTGAGGAGAACTTCTGTGAAGAACGCAGAAGCCGAGGCGGCCTGCTGGCCCCACCAAGGGCAATTTGAGGTATCTAACCTTTGAAAGTGTAAAGTAACCTTTGACAGTGTCATTTCAAAAAAGGATCCCTTTGGGATCCTGTGGGTGTCGTTTTAGGGGTCTATGTTGCTCTCCGTGGACTTAACCGGCCGCATTCTGGCATTCAAGTATTTGACGGTCCATCTTGTTTGACAATGATGGCAGTGGAATTGGCCAACTTGCTCAACAAGACGGACAATTTTCCTCTTCAGTGTCAGGGAGAGGGTGCCACAATGGAATGTCTTGACTTTGCTGGAAACCTCTTTGGCCAGGGCCCACTCAGCGCAGCCGGGCCTTTGAATTCCAAAGAGTCTCGTGAGGAGCCAAGATGTTTTGGTAGGTTGGTAGTAGGTTGGTAGTAGTAGGTTGGTAGGGGATCAGGTGCACCACTCACACGTGCGACGCACCACTGATGTGGAGGTCGGTGGTGCAAAAAGAACAACGTTTGCCAGTTTTCAACGCATAAATCAACATGGGATTGTTGGCGAAGGGTGGTACATTGCTGTCGTCAGAGCAAGCAGGGGTTTGCCCACAAGGAGATCTTCACAATGAGGGCCTTCTCTCGATCATTGAGGCACGCCAAGATCGTTTTCTTTGTGCTCGCTTTTGGGTACCCGCTGAATGTCGCGCCCTCAGAGGTCTCAGCGGTGCCTGCTTGAGTAAAGACTTCAGCGCTCAATAATTTGATGTTTGTGGCTTATTTGTTGCAGTCCCTTGCATTACAGAGATCAGTGCTTCACCGGACCTGCCGACGGCCTCACATGGTTCCAGCTTCACACAGTAACCAACCATCTCTCCAAGTGCATCCCTGGGACTAGGGGACAGGCCATTTCAATTTTTCAGAAATGCTTTCCTCCAGCCTCCAGCCAATAGCGGCTCAATAGCGATGGCCTCCAACCTAATAGCGATGGCCTCCAAGCTAATTCAAGTCTTTGGAAACTATTCATGTGCATGCTGTACCTGGCACGCCTGCTGCTTTTCGTGCGGGTGCTGGCAGCTGCACAAGACAGGACTGATCTAAATGGGACTGCGACTGCTGGACTGCACCGACCTCTTTTCGCACCACGTGCATCGGTTTCACTGCGCGACAGTGGCCATAGTGCGGGGACCTGCCACTGGATTTGTAGCGACTACCTATACAATCCCGGTGTTTGCGACCTCGAACTGAAGGATTCCACTCAGCTGGTCTTTGCAGTCGCTGTTTGATGACGCACGAGCAAGAGCCCAGAGCGGGTCACTTGGACGGCGCAAGAAACCAAGAGCCGGGAGAGATGGGATGAATCAATGGACAGACAAACTCAGACAAAAGAAAGACATCATTAAACTTGATGCATCATTTATCTTAATCAGGTATCATAAAATGTGACAAGCTTGATGCAGAAAGTGCTTTTGAGCTGACACCTGTGACCGCTTCGACATCATCCCTGACACCTGTGCCGCAGGGGAGCTGAGCTTTGCAGAGAGGACGGCCTGAACTTCTTCTTGGTGCGCACTTCGCAAGGCCCACAGAGCCACTTGCCCTTTTGGCAATCCTTTGTGTCTTTTGGTGAGCCTGGGACATCATAGGCAATGGCAGAAGGAGTTTGAAGACAGAGGGCGTTGGACGGCGCTGAAGCCAAGGATTCCATTGCGACCGCAAATCGTTTGTGTTTCAAACTCAGCCGTTTCAGCAATTTTCGCCTCATATTCGGCCGAAACAGCGGAAGTGGCTGAAATGTCAGAGACGGTTGGAACGACGGACGGTCAAAAACCGACCCAGATCCAGAACGAAGTGGCCCTTCTTAGGACAAGAATACCTCTCCCTGGCGATTGCTGATGAAAGGTCGCACAGACATGATCTCAAATGATCTGACTTATGATTGGACTCCGAGTCCAACCGGTCGTGAATTCCCCATCCGAGGCTTGTCGGCCTTGGAGCTGTCTGCCATTGATGCCGTCTTGTTCCACCACCCGTTCCTCAACAGCTAAGATAGAAGACAGCAGCGAGGGGATCTTGCACCTGTTGGAGACATTGTAGCATAACTGCAGTTGCACATCGAGGGTCCTGAGTCTGATTTGTTCAGAGCTTGGGGGAGTGCAACATGTTGACACGGGAAGGACCCACCTTTCAAGTGGACTGGATTGGACTGTTGTCTGAGGTCAGCCAGAGTGGTTCTGCTGTTGGTGGGGGTGCAGGCTGAGGTTGGACATATCCTGGCACCTTGGCCACGATTTGTGGACTTAAGAGAAGTCTCTGGGCAACCAGAGTTGCAGACAGCAAGATCACAAGATCTCAGTCTCACATCGCAAGCTTAGAAGATGTTGGAGTGGGTGGTTTGGTACGGCCAACTCAGGATCCGTATTGGAAGGATGGTTACTGCGTGGTTCTCTTCCCCTTGAGAATCGACTTGGTGATGACGTTGGTCTATCGGGTCGTCTCACCCATGGAGAGGTGCCTTTCTCCGCCCGCGGGAAACGGCCGAAGACTTCACACCGTCGCTGGTCGGGGAAGCCCAAGCGCGGGCAACCGGATCTCTTTGGCCGAAAGAAGGTGCCCAAATGGGCTCCTTTTTGAGCCCACCAACAGCCGAACCACTGCCGGTTTGTTTCTCTTCGTGGGCTTTTTCCCTTGGTCCGGCATCCGTCTCACCAGGTATGGCCTTTCAGACCACGCACTACAGGAGCTGCTGGGGCGCGTGGGGGTCGAGCCAGGGCAAGGTTTGGCCTTCTCAGCCGCTTGGAGATGTGATCCGTCAATAGGGTGGAAACCAGCGCGCTTTTCAGCTACTTTGCATCTCTGTCGGTTTTGGGCCTCCCTGATCTTGAGACAGCCAAGAGAAGACATCTCCCCAGATCTTTGGAAAGTGCTCCCGTACTTGTGCAAATCATTGTTATGATTTAGGAGTGAGGAGTTCTATATGACCGACAAGCCGGAAGCGTATATATATATATATATATATTCAACCTTCCCCTTGTTGATCATTGGACTTGATGGTTGAAGGGTACTTGAAGCTCGACACTTGTCGAGACAGCATGGGTCATCTACACGTGGTGCGCCTCCTCGTGGACTACAAAGGCAGAAGACCCTAGAAAACCCCACCGTTCCTGAGTCAAGTGAATCACATATGTTCAGAACAGCCATCGATGGGTGACTCAGGTCAATGCGGGGTTGCTGGCTTTGCAGCTGCTCTTTGGCGGCGTGCCTGGGCAGATGAAGAAGCAAAGAGAGGGGTAGGTTGAACACGTCTAGTGAAGATCAGTAGGTGAGTGGCCAAGATCTTTGATTTTCGAAGAAGGTAGTGTTGAGGAAGATAGAAATAGATAAGTAGGTCCAGAAATTCAGGTGGATTCTTTCCCCTCAAAACGCATAAAAGCTCAGTTGCTCAGCATGTGATCCAAATGTCATTGCCCCATCTCACCCACGGAGGTCGTCATGTAGCACATGACTTGCGAAGCTTGTAGCCAGACCCTGATCAACTGTATGTTGTACAAGTACCTTAGCTTCTTGCTACTGGTAGCGATGCCCTCGGTACTATCAGCGATGCCCTTGTTACTAGTAGCCATGCCCTTGTGACTAGTAGCAATGCCCTTCTTACTAGTAGTAATGCCATCGCTATCAGTAGCAATGCCCTTGTTATTAGTAGTAGTGCCCTTGTAACTAGTAGCGATGCCCTTGGTTCTAGAAGAGATGCCCTTGATACTAGTAGCGATGCGATGCCCTTGTTACTAGGCCTTGCTACTAGTAGCGATGCCCACACCTTGTTACTAGTAAGTAGCGATGCCCTGGTTACTAGTTACTAGTAGTCATGCCCTTGTTACTAGCAGCGATGCCCTTGTACTAGTAGCGATGCCCTTGTTACTAGTAATGCCCTTGTGACTACTAGCGATGCCCTTGTTACTAGTAGTAATGCCCTTGTTACTAGTAGGGATGCCCTTGTTACTTGTAGCAAAGCCCTTGTTACCAGTGTTACTGTAGTAATGTCTTTGTTACTACTAGTAGTAGTGCCCTTGTTGTTAGTAGCGATGCCCTTGTTACTGGTAGCGATGCCCTTGTTACTAGTAGGAATGCTCGTGTTACTAGTAGCGATGCCCTTGTTATTAGTAGGTATGCCCTTGTTTCTACTAGCGATGCCCTTGTTGCTAGTAGCTATGCTCTTGTTACTAGTAGCTTCTTGTTACTAAATAGAGCCTCACAAATGACAAGCCTTTTGTGGCATTTTTGTGTTGCAAGGGGATCTGGGGGGCTTGTGGCAGTTTGAAGGTCAGCCTCAGCATGGACATGCTTTTGCTGATGCTTAGCAAGAAACTGGGAGTCGGAGTCGGAGTGTGGAGGAAGGTTGGCAACCTGCAGGAAAGAACGCACATGTGGGGGGAGTGTTCCCAGCATCCGCCAAATGTATTTTTTTAAATGTTCTTTGAATTGAGGGTGTAGACGTGGGGAGCTTTTTGTCTGTTATATACATGAGCTCACTCGAAAAGGACCGTCGCCGAAGAGGCTGGCCAAATGGGAGCTGATGCAGTGTGCGTGGTGCATCCATGTTCTATCGTCTACGTTCCTTAGGGGCAGACCTCCATAGATCCCCCCGGAGTGGAAGTGCATTCTCCGGCGCACAGGGCGGTGAAAGGAACCGGGGGCATCCCAGTCTGGTGCTTCTCTGGGCGTTTTCCGCCTGAGGAATGCCTTCGATTCGTGGCTCCCGGCACCCTTGTCCTTGACACGTGCAGCTGTCTTCCTGGAGAGGACCTTGGAGCCAGGAGGGGTTGAAGGGTCTATTTCAAGGAGTTTCCATATGCAAAGATCGCTAGAATAGATGAGGGCTGAGGGAAGATCAGAAAGTTTACAACCCCTACCGGGGCGAACCCGACAAATCTGGCAGGGGGCATGGGACAGGCTGATTTCAGAAATCTCACAGTTTTTCACGATGGGTCCCTTCGCTTGCGTGTGTCCACAGCCGCACGGGACCACTCCCTTAAACCCAAGAGATAGGTGTTCCGTGCCATTCAATAGTCATTTACAAGTCTTCAACAGAAAGATGTCCCAATGCTTGTTCCAAGAGGATGTATGTATATACTCGTCCATATACCTATAGAGGTAGGCCTGGATCCAAGTGGAAACATGGCTGGACCTTCCGGCAGTTTTTAGGTGCATGTTTGCGCACTTAGGTTTAGGTATTTGTGCAGAGTTTTCAGTTTCGACATTTAGCTGTTCAGGCTTCCCTTTTGCTTTTGTCTCCGGCGTGGAGATTACAGGAGCAATCCCGACACAAGTTCCCCACTTCTCGGCGATTTTTTTGGTTTCAGAAGTCAGATCATCTCTTAATCCCTCCCTCCACGTCCACGTGGTTGGTGAAACGCGCTGCAGACGTGGCTCCTCCTCCGGACGTCCTTGAAGAGGAGGACTTTGACAAGTCTTGGACGCCTCGTTCGCACACCGATCGCGGCGACAGCCTCACCACGGCACCATGGCGATGAATGCTGGATGGGTTTTATACTTGGAATGAGTAATTCACCCCGATCCAAGGGCCTGCAGCTTCTGGTAAGTTGAAATGGAGTGGAGAGGAGCAATGGTTTTGCTTGGCTGTTTGATGTCGCCTGTGGCTTAGGTGATTGCCTCCTATGCAGCTCCACGGTCTCTCCCCAAAGGCTGTGACTTCGGAAAGCAGGCCATGCAACTCTGGATTGCTAGCTACGCGCAGACGGGTGCAATTCAGGCATTGGACCCTATTGTGACCAGACTGTTCAAGACTTACGTCCGCTCACGGGTGACTCCACCGACTGATGACAGCTGCGAAGTGGTGCTTTTGCCTGGCTGGGCGTTGGCTGAGCCCCACTTCCCCGATGGCTTCCGCTACTATGGCCGCCGCGGCTCCGAGGATGAACTGGAGGACCGGCCCCACTACCACAGCCAGCTCTACTCCGCCCGCGCCCACAAGGAGCGTGCCGATTGGTCGCTGATCCGGTCCCTGAAGATGTTCTTGCCGCTGGATTATGGGCCCCCCTCGGCCCGGAATGTGCTGCCGCGCAGCATCGTCGACCTCACGCGGCGGATGCTCTCCCTGCGCTTGGGCCCCTTCGATGTGGGGCCTATGCGATTTGGTGTGGCGGAGGGAGGTGTCTCAGGGCGACGCTGGCGGGCGCCCGTGGACTCGTTGGATGCCTTGCAGAACTCGATGATTGAGAGCTTCGACCTTGGGAAGCCGAAGTTGTTGCCACGGGAGGCCGCTCTCCCTGGCGAGGTAGGGGGCTATCGCACCTTCCGCGATGTCCGTGTGGTTGGCCCCTCCAGCTGTGGTGCGCGAACTGTGAAGGTGACCATTGAGGGGCCGACGATCCGGTTCTTTTGCCGAAGGGCTGCACGCGTCGAGGGGGGTGCAGGAGAGGGATTCGGCCCGGGAGGGCTGCGCGTGGTCCTAAGTCCTAAGTGGGTCTCTTCAGGTCTTCTCAGAGATTCCCTGCTTTGGTGGCGCAGGAGACTCGGATGCCCCGGAACGAGGGGCATGTCGGCAGGCCCTGTCTGTGGACAAGGCGAGCTTCAGACTCACCGGGGCGCCTGCACGAGTGCCGTGGCCCGAAGGAGTGGGCGAGTGGATGTTGGAAGGTCCGGAGCTTCCGTCGAGTCGCCCCGAGGTCAATGCTGCTTTGTCACTCCTGGCCTTTGATCCCCGGCCGGGCCGATGGTCCCTGCCGGAGGGGCGGCTGAACGAGACCGAGCTGAAAGCTCATTATGCGAACCTGAGCTTCAGCTTGGAGGATGAAGGGTAATTGGAAGGGGAGTGAAGCTGGTCATGAGCAGCAACAAGCAAAGCAGGCCAGGTGTACAGTCAGATGCAAACACATGCAGGTACACCTCTTGTTTTGTCCTTGACACCACAGCGCTTCATGCTGCATTTCAGCAGTTCAAACAACTGACAACATAGAGATGGCATTTGGTAACCTAGGTTTCAAGGCTCAAACGGTATAAATTGGGTGTTTCGCGGTGTTTCAGGTTCTTTGCGACTGTCATGTATCATTTTGTGGACCTCTGACCCTGACTGACATCTCGGTGATGCAGGAGACTTGCTCTTCGCAGGTGAACTTGACAATGGAAGCCTTGCTTGACGATGTGGAGGAGTGGGGGTGGGGAAGGCCCCTCAGAGATGAGCCTTGATTGGCCTTCCTGTGAAGCCGCGGGAGGCCAAACAAATCAGAAGGGGGCAATTGCCAGCAGCACGCAGTTTCATCGAGTGACCAGAAACAACTACTTTCATCCATTTGAATCCTTTTTTTTACTTGTACTTGTTGTTGTGGTTGTTGCTGCTGCTGCTGCTGTTGTTAAAGATACGTCAGGTCTTGCCAGGCATGTTTTGTGGGAACTTGATGAAAGACACCAGTTGTATACGGTGTAATGATTTAGTTTGCTGAACTGTGGCCAAGCCACCAGTGTTTCTTTCTGTCGTGCGTGCCCGCCGAATGCTCGCTAGATTTAAGGTCTCCCAGCGAATTGTCGAGTTCAATTGAGTGGGGCGGCACTCACCTGTCGCCAGCCCTTCCCAGCCTTCCCCAGTCTTTCCCCACGTCCAGGAGCATGTGACGGTGGCGGCCCACTCGGCGTCTCGTTGTGATTTGCTCGAGCGCTTGGGCCTGTCCTTCCGGCTGATCTACCGGCGCTTGCCCATACTGGTGACCTGTGAGTGTGCTGAGGAGGTGCGATCCTGTTTGGTGGATGGTACTTGGCACTGGGTGGCACACTGGAAGTCGAAGAGGCTTTGGGTATTCCGAGGCTGGTGTAAAACCAGGGCCGCTTCAAATCGTTCACCATGTGGTATGGCGACATAATGGCTTTGATTTTCTTTCATCTGCGGACCCCCCAAGATGAACATCCAGGAATCAGACCTTTGGAAGTAGTCATGGTTCAGGAAGTTGCATCAACCTCTCTCAGTGTCAGTGTTCCAAGAAGCTATGCAGCAGCTCAGCTGCGCTTGGCAGCGGCAGGCAGAGTGCCATCAGCTGCTGCAGAGGCCGCATCCCAGCATCCCCGCCATGCAGGTGGTAGACGTGCCCTTTGATTTCGGGCTCTCGCGGGGTAAGCGACCTGGAGCAAAGAGATGGCATGCCCTTAGTCCACAACGGGTCTGAATGAATTCATACGGAAGTGACTTAGTGATCACCCAAACATGAACACTCTTAAGGGTTTCGAGTGAGTAAGCCACGTATTTGTATACGAACTCTCGAAGAACCTTGTAAGCAAGATGTGAGTTGTGAGATGTGTGAGTCGAGTCATTTTCTTCCTTTCGAACTTCTCATTTTCTGTTTTCGCCCTTGTCTTCCTCAGGAAGCTGCTGGTGTCCAGAGTCGAGACGGAGTTCATCCTCGTATTGGATGATGATTTTGTGAGATCACCACTCTCTTGCTTGGAGTGTGTCTTGATTCCGCTTGGTGCCTGTGTTTGTGTCCTCTCACATGCTTGATTAACTTGTTAGAAGAGTTTCTGACATTGTTTCTAAGGCATGCTGTGGCACATGAGGAGTCAGCTGCATTCGCTCACCTTGCCATTCGACTCTTGCCTGTGCGGTGGTGCTATTTTGTTTGTTAGTTTTTTTTCATTGACTTTGAACTCATTGGCACCTGCAACAAACAGCAACCAAACCATGGTCGACAATTTTTCAACACTGCTCCAGCTTAGTGTGACACATCCAGACCTTGTCATCCTCCTTTCGGCAACCCAACTTGGCCACTCACTGCCCCAGCGGGGCCCTTTTGGGCCAACCGCCAACCGCCGCTCCCTGCCCTAGGACCTTTTGGGCTTCCCGATCCTCGAGGACGAGCGGAACTTTGGCGCCTTCCGCGGCCGGCTGCGGCCCACGAAGAACCGGCTCTTCTTGGAGCCCATCGTGGCCGATGCCACGGTGCGGAGGGGGCAGATGGGAGCGCCGATGGGGAGCCGATGGGGAGCCGAGTGAAGTCCGATGAAACCGCCACGACCAGTCCGATGAAACTCGCCCAGGCTGATGGCTGCACACGGGTGGGGATCCACCCCATGGCCTTCTTGGGGCGCACGAGGCGGCTGCAGAGCTTCAAGTTCCAGGACAACCTGCGAGTGGGAGAGCACGAGCAGTAGCTCGGCAGGAGCCAGATGATATGATAAGATGGTTAGTTCTTGAGCACGTGCTTGTGTGGCACATCAATCTTGTCAAGGTTCTTCTATTCCAACAAGTACTTGGGCCTACAGGCTGCAGTAACTTGCTAGCAGCAGGCGACGTGGCGTACGCCAGTTGCCCAGTGGAATGGGTCGAGGGCTATCACTCAGCGAGGGAATGTAAGGTCCTGCACCGCTACTCATCGCCTCAATGTTCATGGGAAGGCGGGTGGACATGTTTCAGGGATTCTGACAGTTTTGGTGTTCGTTGTATGTGGCTGGTGGTTTCTGCCCAATGTGCTCTATCTCTAGGTTTGCTTCGACTCGACATTCCCTCACTTCCGGGTGAAGATGAAGGGGGCTTACCAAAAGCGGCGTGAACGAATGCAAGAGCTGATGACACAGGAGTTCAGCAAGATTGGTTTCCCAAGCATGATGCTTGGCCGCACTGCTTGGCGGTGGTGTGCTGTGAAGCTGGGGGAGCCCCCCTTACATCGTGCCCCTTTGTGAGCGTGTTGTGGTTGGGCCTGGGCTTGCACCGTTTGGATTTTCATTAGGGAGCAGAGGTGGAGCAGGGATGTGTGGTATATGTTAGCATGTTGTGGAATGCGGACGTGCAGACAGAGAAACCATGCCCGTGAACTGCATGTGCATGCTACAGCCACACTCTCTTGTTTGCCTGACCTCAATTTGGACCAATGCCGAAGTGACAATAGAAGATACTGTAGCCTTTCATGGGATCACAGTACTGCATTTGCTGCATTTGTATAATACGTACATCCTACATCTCCAATCTCCAATTGTTTCTCGTCTCTACAATGCACACTTGAGCAGCCGCCCTGCACAGCTTGAGGATGTACTTGCTCCAGAAATATGATACTTTGAGTGGCTTAGACCATTCCGAGTTCATCTCGAAAGATGTGCCTCCATGGCATATTTCTGTCACTCTGCTCACTAGTCATGGTTTTGTATGCTTTGTGATATTTTGGACTTGTTTTAAGAACGCCCGGGTGTCGGTTTACTGGGGTCGTGGCCGCCGACTCTGCCCAGGATGATACCTGTGGTCCTCAAGCAGATCCTCCCGCGGCCTGCCAGCAGTGGGAGTTTCTGGTTGAAGTTGACCCTTCATAGGCTTTGGCTACCACTTGAGGGGTGGTGGGTTACCTGCTGAGCAACTTGTGTGGGAGTGGCGAGCTTGCCTCTCCCAGACGTTGAGAATCGATTTGATCTATTCACCATCTCAGCCATTGGCCTCAGGTGGAATTCGGAATGTCCCTTGGATGCAGCGGGGCGTAACTTTTTTCCAGCGGTGCCTTGCCTCAGGACCAAGGCAACTGCCCCAAACCATGAATTGCCATTCCGCGGTGATGTATGATGCATAGTCAATAGCATGCATATGTATACATGATTATACATGTTGTCATGGTTGCGTGCGTTTTGTACATTTGGTTTGGCAATCATCTTCTTTCCTTGGGTGGTTTTCGTCACGGATCGGACCCCCCCGGACCGAGTGGCCCACCCGTCGGCGCCAGGTTCTTCGCGGCGATCTTTTCCTCGGCGTCGGAGCGCAGCGCTTGGTTCCGCCGGATTTTGCGGGGCGAGGAGGAATCGACGCTTGGCTGATTCAGGGCCTGGAATCATTGGGGTCATGCAGCTTTCTCAGGAACCACACCAATGTGTGGCTGAATGTTTCTGCAGGAATGTGTGGCTGCCCAAGTTGGCCGATGTGGCGGCGGTGAATTGGGCCTTCCTCTTGGACACTTGGATGACTTGTGACTGTGGCTCATCCAAAACAAAGTGGCGGTAACACTGTTGAAGAAACTGTACTGGTCTTCTGGGGCTAGAGCTGCTCTTGCAGTTGGACGGGGCCAGCAGCCATGCGCTGTATCCGCTATCCACCTCGTGTCTGAGGATGAAAGTGCTGCAGCTGTCAGCAGCATCATGGAGGAGGATGGGTGAACATTGTTTGACTTAGATGGCCTCTGCAAATGAAGAGTTTGGGATGACCTTCTCAGTTGATTTGGCCGAACCCACTATCCCAAGCCATCTCATGCCACACCAACCCACAGGAGTCCGAGTTTGGCGATTTGGTCTTCGTCCCAACCACCCAGGGCCTTCGGTGGCCGAGCGCTGCTGCTTGCCTGGCAGTAGTCCGCCGCGATCGGGTTGAGCTTGGCTTGGCTCGTGCTGAACTGAGACGTGCCAGTCGTGGAAGGGTTTCCGATGCAGTGCCAGGCTTCAGGACGAACAAATCCGGACGGCGGGAGTGAACCACGAAGCATGCATGGTCATAACATCCCCTGGGAGAGTGCCTGATGGATCTGACCGTCATCAAGTCAAGTGCATTCAAGTGCCATCCCTTCAACGCCCTTTTTGGCCGGTGAGGCGCGAGCGTGAGGCACTTGTGCCACATACAAGTTTTACAATCGTCTTACCATCTTACCACTCTGGTGCAGTGCCGCCGTCCTTCCACCTTTGAGGAGCAGCTCCGATGGACCTTTGCATTCTTGCAGCCTGGCAGCATCAGACAGACTCAGACCGCCCGAAGGGCCGAAGGGAACTGCGCACACACACACACACGTGATGTGTATACACACCCGAAGGCTTCCCAGTCAGCACGATCCAAAATACCGCCAATGGACCCCGAGTCTATTGTACGGGGCTTCCACCCCGACAAGGTTCAGACGGCCGCCCCAGATTGGGTAGCTCCCACCCTGAAAGATGAACATCATGTCTGACACAGAAATTCTGCCTTGGGTGGCCTCATGGCATCATGCTGGAGTATCTGGAGTTTTTTTTTTGGGGGTGATACTGATACTCGTGATGGATGCAATTGTGAGGGTCATGTGCTGTGGCACGCTGTGGCTTTGAGGCAGCGCTTCCAGTTTCGCTGGCTGCTGCTGGTTGAAGAGGCCACCTTCGTGAATGCGGGCGTGTGCCTGGGCTCTGAAGCTGACTTGAAGAAAAAAATCTGTGACTTTTGCTTGGCGCTCTATTTCTTGAGAACCTGCCGTTGACATCGCCATTCTTGTTGTCGAAATGCGTGGCACTTCGATGCAAGAAGCAGCAACTCCAGACATGAGGGATGCAGTTGTTGCCTCATGGACCCCCTTCGCAGGTGACGAAATAGGAAAGCTCCCATTGCCATTACACCTGGATGTGGCATATTTAGTGGACACGTACTCGATTTGCATTTGTCGTGGTGTTTTTGCCTGGCCCACCTTTCAAGCGCCAATCAATCCTTTTGTTTTTCTTTGGTCTTCTGGTGTCGCAGCTGTCTCAACCTGGAAATCCTTGCCCAACCACTCCTTGCCGATTGGGTCGGCCGGCACGAACCAGAGATTTGCTCAAATCAGTCGTCATCGCCGGGCTTCCGCCTGGTCCGAGGCTTTTCAACGTACTCTCCAGGGTGGAGCAGGCCTGGGAGAATGCTGCGAGCCGCACCGTGCTGGGCGGCTGGACCGCTGCAGGGCCACGTGGCCGGTTACATATATAAATATAAATACAGTATATATCTAATATATAAATACATACAGTACAGAAATAAATAAACTATATATAAATAGATAAATTTAAAAGACAAACACACACACACACATATATACATATATATATATACAGTGGGTTCAGACTAGATGGCACAGGATTCAAGATGTCTTTGAGATGGTGGTCCATGTAAACCCCCGACCTTGGGGTCTGTGCCATTTACTCTCAATCCTCTGTATCTTTATATATATATTATAGAGATAACGAGAGATAGAAATGTAGAGATAGAGAGATACAGTAGCCTGAGAGAGAGAGAGAGAGAGAGAGAGAGAAAGAGACAGACAGCGAGCGAGTGGGCATTTGGAAGTAGAATTACAGGCGACGACGCCTGAGGTGCGCGAATGAATGCCTATACGGTAGTCAACCAGAAAGGGATGCTCGCAGAAAAAGGTTGACAAGCATGATTTCCTTTATTGTGTGGGGGCGTTACCGGCTTCTACTGTATTCCATTGTAATTTTTGATAGCCAAACACCAACCGTCACAAGTTTGATCCCTTCGAAATGCTGGGAGATGCTGAGGTTGTCGCCAGAGTTTGTGGTTCTGACGCAGGAGCTGTGCTATGTCCTTGCTTGCTACACATCAGGGTCGGCTGTGGCTGAGAAACTGCCGTCATGTTGATTGATCATAATCACATCGCCCAGACACATCTCGTTCAAAAGCTCTCTAACAAACATGCAATGTCCAACTTGCAGAGCGCTGGCGATCACCTTGTAGGTACAGAAGGAACCTCACAGAAAACCCTGGGTCTATCAGTCGATCGGGCGCCCCACACAGCAGCTGGTCCACCTATCCGCTGGAAGGATGTGCTCCATCTCTTGGGCTCCAAGCGGCTGGTCCGCTGGTGGCGCACTTCGTTTGAGAACTATGGGGAGGCGCTGGAGGCCTGGCTGGCGCCATTGGCTGTGCAGCGGGAGGCGATGCCGGGAGTCTACACAGGTGGGCGGAGGAGTGCTGGTGGCGGAAGGAGTCCCAATAGATTAGGACGAACTCTTTGCACTCCAGAATGTGCTCTTAAACAACCTTGGAATACGAGTCCCACATTTACACGCATTGCTTTAGAATGTCCATTCTCCATCCCTATTGGTTTGTCATCGTCCTGGGCAGTTTTTGGTGAGGTCGCAGTGGCGTGTGCCCCGCGGATGCTGCGGTGCTGAACCCTGTGGAGCCAAACGACTTGCTGCTGCTCAGCGAGGCCGCTGCGGAAGGCAGGATGCCCAGGGGGAGAAACTCAGACGCTGACGCTGAGGGGTCCATCAAGGTCCTTCCACATGTGAGGATCATGGTTGAATGAATTGTCTAGGTATGTTTCGGTGAGATGGTTTAAGGGGACTGAGGAGGTTCATTGCAAAGATAAACCCTAGCCGCCCCTTGCATGTGCAAAAAGCACCACATCACCACCTGTATATGAATTTCTTATGTACATTAGTTGGCACCCGGTGCTTGTGTCAGCAATAGAGTTAGTTCTCAACTCATTGGTCTTGCTCCTTGATGGTTTGGAGATGGGGGAAAGCTGTGAGATTTCCGAACAGCGGTGCTGCTCTCCTTGGTGATGTTTTGGTGTCGGATGTGTTTGGTGTCGGTCCTCATCGTCCTGGCAGCTCGGCAGGTCAGCCCTGCGAAGTACTACAAGGCTTGCAGGCCTAGGGGACAGCCAAGCTCAGGCCTGCGAAGTACTACAAGGAGGCTGAAGATGGACCTGCCAAGCGGAGTCTGCGAGTGACAGGGAGTGAGCGACCAGAGAGGTGGACGCGAAGGTGCGGCGCAGCCTGACAGCCCCGGCAAAGCATTTCGGCACCTTGGACGGCCTGCGGATTCTTTGAGCTGAAGCTGTTGCAGCAGGGTTTCTTTGGGACTTCGATCACCTTGACAGCGATCTCACACGTAGAACGAGCGACCGGCATCGGAAAAAGAACGCGCTGCGAAAAAGAACGTTGGACCGACGAAGGGCGACAGCTTGCCATGCAATGGTGCGTTTCAGCTGACGGTTGTCCGGCTGAGGTTGGACGGTTGCTGCAAAGCTTGGCGCCGGCTCAACACGTCCTGGTGTGCACCGGGCTGCATGTAACTGGTGCATGTGTGCAAGCCGCCCACAAAGATAAAAATTGTTCTTTGCCCGGCCTTAGGCATGTGGATGAAAAGCGCCTGCCACCCAGGGCGGTTTTTTCCCAAAACTCACTCAGTGTCGCGTGCTTTTGGCGGTTGGGTTTTCAGGGCAGTTGGCGGTTGAGGTCCGACATACTTCCAGATGCTGAGAGATTTAGCCGCAGGCCCAGCCAGGCTACCAGGTCCCACGAATCGTACTGGTAGGTTGTAGATGTAGATTGCTTGGCGAGTCTCTGGGCTAGGGCCTTTGTGAAGTACGGGATTGTGACCAAAGAAGACCTGACTGACTGTGCCTGCCATCCCTCCCACGAATGTGACTGCAAACGGCCACAAACCACCGCGTCTGAGGTTCGCGAGCTCGAAATGCCCAATGTCACTGTCATCTCTCGCTACCGAGTGAATCGCGGGGGTGCTACTTGGTCGCTGGGAACGCTTGGGAGACAGGGTGGGACCCGGACAAAGTGCACTTGTTTCTAATAGCAAAAATTGTTACTACTAGCGTGGCACCTGTTACTACTAGCGTGGCACTTTGTCCTTAGTGACTTAGTGGAGATGTTGCCGATGGACCAACTGTGCAAGCACTACTTACGACGCGCCCTTTCAGGAGTATAGAATTTCAGAAAAGCGAACGACCGCCGATACACCCACTAGCAGCCTCCGGGGCATAGTCATTTTTTCCAGATAGGAACAGCGGTGAAGGTGAGTGAAGCACTAGCTTTCAGGGTGAAAAGTCTCAAAGGAGAGTAGCCTGCCGTAGTTTAGTTTGGTGGTGCATTTGATGTTTGAATTTGAAGCTCAGCATTTGTGCACGGGCATGCCTTGAGAACCAAGATCCGCCAAGTGATCGTAGTGGATGATCCCGGCAGGGATGATTTTGAGCCTTTGAGTCTTGAGCTATAAAATAGGGGCGCATGTGCCCGAGCCAACCATATCAATACACAAAAGGCTGTTTTTGTTTTGTTGTTCTTCTACGAGCTTTAATCCTTTAAAAAGGTTAGCGGAGGGGCATCTACTGTATCAGATCTTGCCCTAGTCGGACGCTTGGGGCTTCTCGAGCCACCCTGTTTTTTTCACCAGCCAGCAGAATCCGTTCAGTGGCTGAGGTTAGCACTCTCACGGCCTGGCTGGGGGGGGATGTCTTGGCTTTTGGAGCATGTGAGGCTCCTAGCCTGGTCGTTTTTCGGCGCTCCTTGGATGTCTACTTTTTAGCACTGAGGGTTGATTGTAGACGTTTGAATCTGCAACCTTTTCATGGCTTTTTCTGCTAGAGGTCCTTGGGTGTTGCGGAGCCCGTCTTGAGGTGAGCGAATGGGACTACTACATCAACCTCAATGCCGGAAGCTCAGCTTGTAACATGGTTGTGCTTTGTGCACTTCTGGAGCCCCTTTGGAGCTTGTTTTTGTGCATCAGGGCAGCTCAGACAGTGACTGTTGGTCTTTCTTTTGTGCTCATGCCGTTTGAGGATTCGGACTATCCGGTGGCCAAGTTGGAATCGTTGCAGCGGTTCTTGTGGCTAAACCAGGGGGGCGAACTTCATCAACGTGGGCTCAGCTTACAAGGACTGGATCAATCCACATGTGCCGGAAATGGTCAAAAAAGACTGAATATATAGTTCTTTACGAGACGTGCCGTTCAGGAAGCACCAGTCCTATTGAAGCTTTGGTCCACAATCGGGCATGAAAACATCTTCTTGCCATGCGGCGCCTTTGTCCAGCTTGCAGAAGTAGTCCCAAGCAACCGATCTCATCGTCTGATGGTTCAACCATTATCTTGGCATATCTTGGCCAAGGCCGCCCTCGTCGCCTTGCGGTCGCCGTGCCTCGAAGCCAGGACTGTGACTGCGGGCGGTACCTGGTCTTTGAGTGCAAGGATGAGTTGTACTCTATCGCTCCAGAGCTGCAGTACCCTCGCCGGCCACAGCTGCAGCATGCCTCCGGGCCCAACCTGGTGGCAATCACCAAAGATATGGCCATGTATATTGATCCTTTGGCTGGCAGTCCGGGTTGGATCCAGGTTGGCACCATGGCCGTGGGGCTGGTCGGTGGGAGCCAGGCGGTGGAAAGAGGGGTTGGCATGGGGACCAAAGGAGCTATTTTTTGCATGTTCATGGTGGAGAGAGTTGGTTGTTGGTAATTACCCTTGCAGTAAACGTATGTTTAAGCCTCTCGGAAGGTATCGTATGTAAACTGAGATCCAGATGGCCTCATTTTGGAGATCATGAGATCCCAGGATCGGAATCGGAACATCCCTGGCACGGCAGTGCAGAATGTGCTTGAAGATCTTAGCATTCTTCAGCAACCTGATGAGAAGTTCTTCCAGATCCTTGGCCTGAATGAGAATGAAGCAGGAGCTTCCATCTAGTGGAAGGGCTTGGATTACAACTATATATAACACACTCTCTGGGAGCGTTGGGAAGTGCATGGCAACCTGTTGGGCGATGGCACGTTTCCGTGCCATGATGCATCAACACATGACTGGGAACAGCCCTGGCGCACAAACCTGCCACGTGCCGTCAAGGTTAACGGAAGAACCAGTTCTCCGAAAACATGTGATGACACCTATCACCCACCAATTAATATGTTGAATATTTTTTGCAAGACCAATGCCAAGGGACTTGTGCCATCCTTACCCCCAAGCCAATGAGCAAAGAACATCCAAGGGTTTGTATTTCTTTTGGAGTCTATGTTAGCTTTGGGAGATGGATGTTTATTTGGACTCACCATGTTTCCCACCACCCAAGGACAATGGCGCTGAACAGTTGGAGAGCCCAGCCCGAGGGCCCTCCAAGGGGGACGAAGGGAGGGCACGCAAGGTCTTCAGAAGTGGGAGGCGGTTGTAGGTGATTTAGTGAGGTCATTTACTGTATATAGATGAAGCTTCTCAAAACCCAGTTCCTTGCAAGATTCGATGCTTCTCAAAACCCACGCTTTTTTCACTCCGAGAAGGCTCCACTTTTGGCCACAAAGGCCACGACACTTGATGTTGATTGAGGTTTTAGGCCAGACCCACAGACCAGGTCAGCACAAAAGGCTGGGTTGTTAACCATTTCTGGTCTGTGTACCACGAAGAATCGACGAAAAAAGTGGCCCTTTGGTCCAGCTGAACATGCCGCCGCCTGAGGCCCCTTCTGCCGCCGCCACGTGCGCTGGGGCTTCCACATCTGGGACCGGCCCAACCTGGCGCCCGACGCTGCGAGCCCGGAGGTGGCGGGACCGGAGCCTCGGCTCAGGTGACTCGGGTGGGTGAGATGGAGATGAACCTACTTCAAGGTTTTCGGTGGTTTGGTACGGTGCATGTACTATATATATATATGTCCAATTCCTGGTTGTTTGCGGAGTTTGGGTTTTCCATCACTGGATGGGAAATGAACAGTTGCTGCTCGTTCTAGAAGCTGTTCTGAGGGGGTTTGTCATTCCAAGACGAGCTGGTCTCCACTCCATGTTGTTGCTGACAAAGTGCAGGGTTTTTAAAGGAATCTGATGGAATTCGTTTTCAGTGTTGGACATAGCGTTCTTTTTTCACATGCACGATTCTCACCTTGCCAAACATGAAGTTGTAGTTTCAGTACCTCTGAAGATGCACTCTTCATTGAAAGACAGTACGCGGCACAGATCCCAAGAGGAGACCAGGCCTTGGCTAAGCCATGTTGTTTGGGCTTTGTTCATCCTTTTTTTTGCAGGTAGGGTGTTGGCCTCTAAGATGCGCTAAGTAGGCACCATTGGCCTGCCAAAGCAGTTTAAGCCTCCTATGTGCGTATGCATGTGTTACTTCACAGGATCAGCGGGAAATCGCTTATGGCATGGAATCGGAGACCGTTGGTTCTTCCCTCTTCCTTCACCAATACAACGAACCAGTCAAGGCCCTGACTCCGGGGAAACGAGTGCCTCGTGTTTTTTATTTTTGCTTTGCGCGCCGCTGTGACCGAGGAGCTGAAGATGCTCACGCCACCCTTACTGTCGCAAAGCTTCTTCCAACGCCTTGTTGATGTAAAGCGATGCTTTGGCGCACCACGGACCATTGAGGAAGAGCTGCGAACCGACACATGGGTTTTGGACGGTCCTTTTTGGCTTGTGGTTGCTGGGAATTATTGGATGCCCCTCCACCTCAGATACGATTCTAGTCCAGATCCATGTCTAGACAGGTAGTTGTTTAAATATGTGCGTTCTAACTGAAATGGGTGCCGTAAGAAGGATAGGAACGCCGGGCCGCCGGACTAGATTGAAGTTGAATCTGAACTCCCTTGATTTGAAAGCAGGCTCGACTGCTCGAAGTCTGAATCCTCGGCGTGGTTGACCCTTCCCCAATTCACTTTCTAGAGAGCTTATCCTACATGACTACATGTGCACACTGCTCACAGCTCTTGGCGCAAAACCGTACGACTACTGTGGACGTTCGACCCTGTATAGAACTGCTCCTTGGGATTTGTGCCCAGTCTTGAGGAGTGGTACTTGACCCACTCAGTGTTCCCATGTTTTTCTGCTTCCACTTCTGCCCGAGGACAGCGGATGGCTGTGTTCTTTGCACGTAAGTTTGACAACAACCGCACCAAAGAACTGCAGGAGCGCTGGTGTGCAGAAGGCCTCAGGTGTGAAGTATTTTCATTTCAAAGCCATCAGGTGTGGAACATGGGTCGGTCATGAACAGGATCATGATCAGGCCTCAGCTATGGTCTCATGATTTTTTCCGGCTTTGCTGACTTCATGCAGCTTCTTCTTGGGAGAGGCTCAAGCAACGGATTCGATGGACATTCAAGCAGTAATGAATTGCATCTGTTTACTTCGAAGACGTTGCAATGATTCCGCCCTCTCTACATCACATTCCCTTTGTGCACACACGCGCGCACCTCGCACGAACCTGGCCTCACATCATCTCTACATGACCTGCCACTAGCCCACCAAAGTCTAACCCATTTTGATCGGTCAATTGCGTTGGACCTCCAGTGTGGCGCTGAAACGCCGTAGCCAGGCGTAGCCAGGCGTAGCCAAGGCTCCGAGCTATGCTGCCTTTACATGTGGAGTCGGAACGTCCATCGTTCATGCACTCACCATCGCTCTCCGAATACTTGCGGCGGATGCTGCACTACGCGCAGATGGACATCGACTACACGTTTGCACAGATGCTCTACCTCTGCATTGCACCGAGGAAGGTGTATCAGCTCACCTCCTACCGGAAGCAGACCAAGAATCAGTGGGCCAGAGACGATCCTGCCTTTGTGGTGGTCTTGATCTTTTTCCTCACTGTGACAGCCATTGCTTACGGCATCGCATTCCAGGCACGAGGCACCGACTTCCTCCACATTCTTGTACGCTTCATAGTGATGCACTTCATTTTCTTCGGCATAATGGTCTCCACGGTGTCCTGGTTTGTGGCCAACAACTACATGCGGGCACAGTCCTTCCATGGAGTAGAGCAGAAAATGGAGTGGATGTATGCCTTTGATATTCACTGCAACTCCTTTTTTTCCCTTCTTCTTAGTGCTCTATGTCTTTCATTACTTCTTGCTCCCCTTCTTGTCGCAAACCACATGGTTGGCCGCCATCTTCAGCAACATCCTCTATGGAGTCGCGGCATGCTACTACCTCTATATCATGTCCTTGGGCTACAGCACGCTACCATTCTTGGAGCGCACAGAGGTGATTTTGTATCCTGCAGGCGTTGTGGTGCTGCTCGCTCTGCTCCTGAGCCTGTGCCGGGTGAACTTGACACTGGTCTCCTTGCAGTATCTGGGCATCTGAGCGGCGTCACTGTGAATGCAACAGTGTCCTGGAACGTGTGATCTCTGCAAAGCTCGTGAAAAAGGAGGGATCGGTGCAGCATCCACCTGCAAAAGCATTGCAAAGCTGTCTCCCACTGCGCTAGTTTCATTACATTTCATATTGACCCCCCCTCCCCACCTCTAAAGGGGAGTCTTCCCTTCTCGATGGGCTCGCTGGGTCGCTCCGCACCGTCCAGGACCAGATCGATGCTTTGGAGACGAGCGGGCGCTGGGCGCCGGTGAGGTCAGGACTGGAGGAGTGGGTGAAGGCCAGGGCAGTGAGAGAGGAAGGTATGGGAGATGGCTCCAAAAAAGCCGATTGGACCTAGACCTAGACAACCCAGAGAGAGAGAGAGAGAGAGACGTTTGTGAAGTGAAAGCATCACAGAACATCTGCATATGCACACACACACATGTATATATATATATATATATCCCTCTCCCTCTCTCTCAGAGTTTTCCAGCTATCTGGGAAACATAGCGTATTGACTCAGCCAATAGGCTTCACCAAGTTTTGCCGGGTTTCTGAAAGTGGGCACCAACAATGTTTTGAGAACCGCTCCACGCGTCACACATGGTTCATGTGTGGGTGTAAGTATTATAGGGGTATCAGAAGCAGGGTTTATCAAGGGCCTACTCTATCGACTCTCCAAACCACAGGCGAAACAAGTGGTAGGTATAGCATAGATGTTACTTAATGAAATTTGGGTGATCCATTCTTCTTGGCAGTTGGTTTAACTCAGCAGGTTGGCAGAGATGGTCTTCATTTAAGAACTTAGCCCCGGTTAAACTTGTCTCACAGATGATCAGCCTGCTATAGCGTGTTTCGGGCGAACGGGACGGATGATCCTGTGAACGGAGGCCCTAATGCTGGGATTCGCCAACGAGAGCGTGCCCTGGCGGCTGGGAGGGCTCCAAGCAAAGCGAACTGACCACTGTCAACCGTGGTTCTCCGCCTCAGTTGGTTTGGCGTGCTTTGGCTTGCCAAAAAGTATGTATGTAATTATGCAACGCGTTAGGCTTACGTCGATCAAAGCACGTGACAGGGATACTGGCATGCCTTTACACTTGCCTATCAGAGCCACCGTCAACCCCGAACGATGGGGCATCACGAGCAAGTTAGCAGAAGAGTCTAGCTCAAGCACCAGAAATGCCATTCAGCCATCAGTGATCAGTAAGCTTTTGACCGCGGCTTTCTTAGCCATGCTTAGCATAGCCGATGTTTGTAGCAAGGGCAGTCATGTTGGTTTCAAGAGGCCGTGAACAAGAGGCAGTCATAGTCTAGCTTCTTTTTGTATTTTGTTCCGGCGACAGCTACATGTCGAAAGTTGGGGCTGAGGTCGCCAATATCACCAACCTGGAGGCTTCCAGCTGACGATGGCAAAGGGTAGGTGGGTGTAGATGGTGCCAACTCAAAGACCCATTGCCATAGACCATAGTGACATATTCATGTCGCTCCCGACATCGAACTAACAACGTTTACACCAGGAGGCTAGGGGGATGCGGGTTCATAGGAACGTAATAGCTTTAGTTAGCACGGAACAGGGGCGGGCATGTATGGAAGTCACAGTTACAGGCCCAGGAAAAGTGTTGGTAGCTCAAGGAACGAGGCACAGGCCCATGTTCGAACGGCACAGGACAAAAGAGCACAACTTTCAAAAGTGCATACTATCGGCCACGTTTTTCCGGCCAAGGCAGCCCAAAGGTCAGCCAAGGCCCATGTTGCAAAATCTCGCCCGGAAACAGGTCACCGTAGTACCCCTAGATTTGGGATCTTGCTGGGGTGCTGTGTTGCTGGTAGGGGTAGTTGGAATGTAGCGGTCGGGTGCTTTTGAAGGACGAATGATGTGTTCAATATTTCTGACCATAGGACTTTCAGGACAATTCCCCGCGGTTGTTTCCTGCAAGTAGTTGAGTTCATGTCAGTTTCCTCCTGTAAATAATTGGGAATTTGCGCATATCGCCCAACATCGAGAACTTTCTTTGCCCAATTCCTTGTTGAACAATGGTAGCATTTTGTCACGTTGGTTGGAGAGGACTTCAGCATTTCCCTCTACCAATGGTGATGGTGATGATGAGAATGCGATGACTACTCGCTGGGGTCTTGAAATGGTCAACGGTACAAACCCGATGTCCTGTAGGTGTGGCAGCACGAGACTGGGCCAGTTTTCTTTCACGTGGAGCCGCCGACTCAATATATTGGTGTTCGCGCGGGTTCTAATCGTCGTTCGACGTTTTCTTTTGTTTTTTCTTCTTATCGACTTGCCGCTTCCATGTCGCCACCCGAGGCGCTTCCGCGGGCGCTTGTCTCTCCCGTGTGCCCGCCGCTGTCGCCTCACCGGGCACTTGGCTCCCGGGCCAAATCTAGTGCAGGCTCTACCTACTTTACGGAATTGCCAGGGGCATCAAACACCGTCAAACACCTCATTGTAGCTGCGGAGCAGATCTTCAGAACACTTCAGATAAGATTTAGAAAACATTGTTTTGGAAGGCCTCTTAGAATCTAGGAGCTGATGTGGACACTAGCGGGTCACTGGCGCCATGTCTACGAGATGGCTCAAAGCACCTTTCAAGGAGCGTGTTCACGAGAAGCCCCTCAGAGCACCCCAAAAACTGATGGGAGTCACCCTGTTTTTTCACCCTTGGATCTACCGGCCTTTCCTTGCCTCCAACCGCCGCACCAGATCTTTTAATGATCTTTTTTACATGGCCACGCGGTGACAATGTTGTGAAACCGACGTGCATGTTGATGACACGCGGCTGGTGACACCATCAATGTCCCACCCGCTCGCCCCTCGCGTTTCGATGTGTTTCGGCTAAGCTGCTCAACCTCTGCAGCGAGCCTCACACTGTGTATCTACACTGGCCGTTCAAGGAAAGCAGTCCGCCTGGCTTGCCTTTTCCCTTTCGCAGCACTTGGCACCGCACTTGCATTACGTACGTGTGACTGCTCTCAATACCGTGTTCAACCCCAACTCCCCCTGCACTAGCTCCCTCTTCCCCCCTTTGTAATCAAAGGCCCATGCGATGACACTAGTTGGAACTTGCTGACAATGTGGTGAAGCTGATGACAATGTTGTGACTGATGACATATCCAAAAGCAGGTGACACTATAAACCACCGGAAAACGCCAGGCGACCCATCAATCCACGGGCAACTAGAGATTCCGCTGTAAGAAGATGGATGTCCGATTGCAAAGCATTAGTTGAGCACTACAATCTGTTCAGAGCAGGAGCACAATAGATGGTGAATGATTAATGGAGATGATATCCACCCAGCCTGGAAGTGGGCTCTCCTGAGGTTGTTGAAGAGTTGGCGGCAAGAAGCCCAATGATTTCCCAGTCGGAGGCGAATGGACAGATCCGGCCAAACGAAGAACCCCCAATAGGGGAAAGGCGATGAAAGGCGTGTTGGTGATAATGACGAGGACCACTTGTTGGAGTCTAAAGTTTCAAGGTCGAGTCGAGTCATTCCTTTTGGATCCTGGCGACCGGGATGCAGTCTGACTAGAGGATCACACCATGGCCATATGGCCAGCGGCTAGATCGGTCATCCAGTGGCATTCATGATGATGAAGATGAAGAAGAAGACCTCCGTTTGGTGAGTTACAGTGAACATCGGCCGGCAGGGCTGTTGTTGTGGGACCCATATTGATCAAGCAGAGAAGAAATGAGGCAAGAGGCAAGGGTTCGCAATCTATGAAGAATTTTGGAGACGAATGAGCCGACCCTTCCGATTTCATCAGCCGTCGCATTGCAGGGAGCATCAGTGATTGAGCCTGGGAGCCGAGGAGGGAAGGTTGAAGGAGGCGGATGTATGATGATGTATGGGTGTACAGGTTGTATTCTATGTCGTGGCTGAGGGCCAAGGGGGGCCCACGGGGATGAAAGAGATTCAGGAACTGCCTTGAGGACATGGTGGAGCATGGCACTCATGTTGACCATTCGAGTCCTACCAGAAACCTGCGAAGGAGTAGGCCAGCCCAGGTCCCCACTCCTTGTGGCCTTGCGGGCTGGCACCTCAGGTGGTAATCGCGGAAGACATGGGGACTTCCTAACCAATTCTTGAGGCAAACGCTGGAGGATCTCAGAAGTGACTAGACTCACTAGACTCTTAGATCCTGATCCAGCATTGCTGGACCTTGTCTGTGCACCATTGCAGATGGGTTTTGTGGATGGCTGTTTTTTTGGGGTCCACATAGAGACAGATGGGTTTGCCACTCAGGTGGGCCTGGGATGGGATGTTGAGACCTTCTCCTTCGGGACCATGTCGGCCGTAGCCTCGGGGGTTCAGGTGTGGTGACCTGCTTGATGGAGGAAGCTTGGATTGACGATCGCTGAGTGTCGCTTGTGGCTAGATGAGCCAAGCACATGCGCAGCTAGTACTAGGCAGCCAGGAGTTGTCGGACCATTTGGACAAAACCCGTCTGATTCTTTCCGCAGACTCTGGCTCAGACCCGTGGCCGGCCCAGCAGCCCGTGAGGCCCCGCTTGGTCGCTCTGTGTTGCTTGGTCGCTCCGAAGCTCGTCGCCTCAGGCGCGGAAGATGGACGGCGTGTCGTTGAACATGCTTCTTGGAAGGACGAAAATCAGAGGGGGCCGAAGCTGCGAAGCCGATCGGATTCGGATGCAAAAGGGCAGAAGAGAGCAGAAGGCATGTGCCTGATGAAAGGCTATTTGGTTGTTTGGCTGCCCAGCTTGCAAGAAACCTACAGCAAAAGAGTCATGCCGCATCATGCCCATTATAATCATTATATACATGTTTGCACGACTTGCAAATGCCGTAAAACAGGATGCTACAAGTTATTGGTCAGATGTCGGGCCAATCTTCAAGAGAGAATCCCGTTTGACAACCTTTGAGGCTTCAAGTGCTTCTGGCCATCATCCTGGCTGCTGCATCCATTTCCTTGCTCACCAGTGCAGGGGTCATCCATCGATGTCCGGCCGCTGAGAGAGAGAGAGAGAGCAGCATGAACTGTTTGGAGTTGTCCTGGATTTTATCGGGCTTTACGGAGACGATCCAGCTGCTGGTGTTCGTAAAGAGGCAAGTATATACTCTACCTGTGGCAGCATTCAGATGCTTGAAGATTCAGCTGTTCGCCGCTGCCGCCTCGAGGCCCTATGTGCCCTGGAGCCACGGGGTACGGCGCCTGTGCTGCGGCGCAGGACCCATTCTTCGAATGGGGGGGTCCTTTGAAATGAAGACAGATCCAAATTTGCATTTGGCTTTCCTGGTGTGGTGCATCTACAAGCCAATGCTCAACCTGCCTTTAATAAAGTCCAACTCTTTTGCAGTGTGAAGCATGGAGGCAAGGTCGAGAGGCCCATTCTTGTTGATTGAGAGGTGTTTCTTCTTCTTCTTCTTCCTCTTCCTTCTTGGGTGCTTGTGCCTTGTGGTGGCCTCTTCTATGTGATGTTCATGTGTAGCTGTGGATTTTGTCACTCTCTTCTTGAGCCTGGGTGCTGCCTAGACAGGATCTCAAGGTCTTGGCCAGCTTCCTCCTGGGCGTCATCGCCTGCAAGTCCGCCGACTTCCGTTTCGTGGCGGGTACGGTGGGCTGTGGGGCTGTTCGGTTTGGCCTTGGAGCTGGAGAGCCACTTTGGTAGGTCGGAGTCCTGTGCTTGTGCTTGTGGTGCTTGTTCTTGTGTGACGGTAAGACGGGAACTTTGTTGTGGGCTTCATCAGGTGGCCAGAATTGAATCGTTTGAGCCACCACTTGGGACTCCCACGCTGAATGAGGTGACAGGCTAAGCGGCTAAGCAGCTAACGATGCAAAAAGCGGCAAAAGATGGCTGTCACACCGGGGGTAGAGGACGCTACTAGATGGCTCCTGGCATCGCTACTAGGAGCAAGGACGCTCCTAGGAGCAAGGACGCTACTAGAGGCTCCTGGCCGTACTACTGGGAACAAGAAGCTACTAGGAGCTTATAGCCCACCGACCGGTCGGTGGCTGCCCAGCACCGAGGCTCCCCAAGCCGCTGTGACGGTGCGCTGAGCGACCGGACCTGCGACGAGACCATGGGGTCCTCGTGGTGCGAGGTTTCATAATGTTTCATATTCTGCATTCCTTCCACTTGAGCATTTTTTGTTGAAGTGGATGCAGTGTTTTGGGGTTGATGACACGTATTTCCCTTGTCGATGACGGTGTTGGTTTGATGGTGTCTGTGGTTGGGACAGTGGCTCTCTGGCTGCTGGAGCAGGTCCGGCGCCATGTGAGGTGGAAAGAAGTCCTATGACCCCAAAGGGCGGGAGGGAGGCCTATTGAAAAGGAGAGTTCCTGAAAAATGTTGGACATTCATGGACTAGTCTGGATCAGTCACTGATCAGACCTATGTGGTGGGCTCCAGCCGCATGCCTTATGGTCCCGGTGATCCGAGCTCCGAGTTGAGAGGTGACGATCCGAGCGCCAGAGGCGGTGGTCTTCATTGCTGGCTGGTGTGGTGAGGCTCCCCCCTCTGCCGCATCCAACGGTTGGGGCGAAAAGCCGAGGAGTGACCACCGTGGAAACAGGAGCCGAAGCGGGATCCGGACTGTTTGGACATTCCAAGGCCACTCACTTGGATCTAAACATAAATCATCCAGAAGATGTCATAGGACCTAGGAGGGGTGGGTTTCCCAAAGGCAGAAGCCGCTCAATTGGAGAGGAGTGTTGAAAGAGCAAAACCACAGTGTTCTCTTCCAAAATAACGCCTAGCGGCTTAGCGCTGCCTAGGACATCCAGCCAAGCTTCCAAGGGTCTCGTTGAGAGCTTCGTTGCGGCAGGTTTGCAGTGGCAAGGATATGGGACATTTGGAAGCTGAGGACGACAAGTCATTTAGGGTGTTGTGAGCAGAGGTGAGAGCTTTCAGGGCATATCCAAGTCCTTACGAGTTGACATCCGCAAAGAGAAATGAACCTATGTCATGCACTTTTGCATGTCAAGCATCAGATTGCTTTGAGGACCAAGCTGGAGGAAGATGGGGCTGTAGAGCTGCCGTAGACCAGACTTGAAGCTTTCACCAATTTTTGTGTACAGGAATTCACCCGAAAAAGGGCCGCTGGGATGTTGGGAAGCTGCGGATGCAAGAGATCTCTGCAGATTTCCCGGCCATGTACAGGGCCTGTGGCGAGCCACTGGTCGCGGGACAACCTTCAGTATGAGCAGAAGAAGGCCTGAAGTCACCACATCTGCTGCGGCCACGATCAGTGACCCTGCTCCACGCCAGCTCGAATGAAGCTTCGGCACTTATGCAGACGGGTCAGCTTGGTGGAAGAACATTTTTTTCCGAACCTTGTGAGCATTATTGGGCACTTCTCGGGAGCTCAAGCCACTCCGAAAAGGATCATTTTGTGGCAAATTGAACTTGAACATAGATAGCTCCTCCTCAAGCACCAGGGAGGTTTGGGAGAGGCTTCAGATATGTGGTGTAATCTGGGAATCAAACACGCCATCTCAAACATGCTTGCCATCTCCGCAACAACTGGTGGCCTTGAACCGGTGCCTTGCGGTGCGGCACCGGTGCACTGCCTCAGGTCATCCCAGAGCACTCGGGTCAGGGCCTCCAGAGTCCATCGCTACAGGCCATGAGTGCTTCCAGTGGGTGTGCGTGCTGGCTCCCGAGGGAAAGACCTTGAGCTGGTCATGTACTGGAGCCATGCTGCGGCAAGGCGCTCGGAGGACTGCTCTTTGAAGCAGATGTGACTAGGTGGTGCTGGAATGAGTTGAAAGAGGGAGGCAACAACTTGGGGCAAAGCCCTCAGTCTCGACAAGTCTGCTTTGGATTTGGCTTGTGTTTTTGAGAACTTGCTAGACTAGATCAACACCTCAAGCCCCGAATGCATGGATAACAGAGCGATGAAGAACGTGCTGACCACCAACATGGAGAGTCCCCAAGAATTCCCTTGTGGACCCCTTGTGATCCACAAGGGGGATGCGGAATGAATAACCAGATTCCCGTAGAGTTATACAAGGATGGATGGACAATGCAGGGGACCTACAAATATCTATTGGGACCATTGTGGGTGTTTGTGAATCTTTTCAAGTTATGTCTCTCTCTCTCTCTCCCCTTTTCCTCCGTTTTGTTGTCAATTTCGATTGGGAACTGCCAGGAGAGGCCACCGCAGGAGCTAGAGGTGCACTTGAGAAAAGACGCCGGGGCGGAGCGGCGGAGTGGATGGACTCTCAAGAAAGCCTCAGTGTTCAGGTGATGGGGAATGGCTTATGATCCATTATGTTTTTGGATCCCGTATTACGATCTCCAGCAGAATTCCAGTCGTGACTTGCACAGGTGTCAACCCTTGTTGCATGCTAGGATGATGCTGAGTCCTTTTTTGGTCGGCTGGGTTGACGCAGGCATCTCGCGCGCAGGTACGATGGCTGGGGCCCCGGCATCGCCCCAGCATCACGTGGCGCTCGAGCTGGTCGTCTCAGCTGGTCTCGTGGGCGCCGATGCCGTGGGGAGTCCTAGATGAACAAATGCAGCGGTGGGATATACAGTATATGTCTTAGATGTGGAGATCCCTTCATCAACATCCATCAACATCCCATTGAGAGGAGGGAACACATCCATCTTTATGGGTTTGGTGGCGTGGTTCTTTGGGATCAACTCAGCCCCTCCCTGTGACCGTAACATACCGTAAGCCGTAAATCATGGTCTTCAGACATCCCATGCTCAGGTCCGAAGGGCGCGTTGAACCTGGAGAATGGAAGGTGGAGGTTTGGTTGGCCGGCCAATTGCAGGGGCTTCTTGCCATGCGGATGTGACACGTGGAGAGGGAAGCAGCACTCCGAGACCTGCAGAACAGTCTGTGTGAACAATGGCCCAAGATGGCCCCCTTGGTTCAGGGACCCCCCATGCTCCGATCACCACTGTAGCCCTGGAAACAGTGTCGGTGTGTCTCGATGCAGGCACGTTTGGCAAGAAGTCTAGTAGCTTCTTGTTATATACTAGTAGCGATGCCAGGAGCTACGATCGTAGCGTCCTTGCTCCTATAGTAGCGATGCCCTTTGTTCCTAGTAGCTTCTTGTTACCTTCCTTCCCTACATTTCTAATGTCACTTCCTCCCATGTGATGATGTGGGCATCTGAGGCTTCGGCGCTTTCATGTGGGTGCAGGCGAGGGAGAGGAGATGAAAGAACAGATTCAGATGGAGGGAGTCGGAGGCATCCTTAGACAACCTTAGTTTTTACTGGGTGGTGGCTCAACTCTTTGACCGTTTTCATGGTATAGCTGCTACTGTCTTCTAGCACCAAATGGTCGAAAGTACTATGGTCTAACGAGGCAAATCCAACGATGGCCAGACGTAGGCAAATGTCGGACAAAGGGAGTTTCTCGAGGCCCAGAAGCTCCGTGGACGCAGTACTTTGTGGCGCAACCAAAAAGGAGCGCAGCGGCGCGGCCTCACCAGGTCTTACCTGTTTTACTAGCACATCTGATGCCTTGGCCATGTTCATCCGTGTTTGCCATAGCTAGAGGCTCTCCGAAACGGCATCGTGGTGCCCCAAGATGGGTGAAAAAGGTGTCGCGCAACGGCTAGTGTCGATCCAGCTGTTGCGGACTCCAGCCGTGGCTCGTCAGACATCAACAGGCAAAGCTACACACATGAATGAAGGAGCCCAAGGGGCTAATTCCCGTCCTCCTGAATCAAGGGAAGCCACCGTGAGAATGGAGATTTGGTAGACATGTCATGCCACATGTCATACCAAAAGCGGTGCTTCTCACCGATCGACTCATCGGCACCAAGGGTGTTTTTTTTTTCTTTGCTTCGTCATGGGCTCTCTCCAGTCTGCCATGAATCATAAAGCTTTCATGGATTGGCCAGGCCAGTGGGCAGTGGCAAGCGAGCCCTGTCAAACATAGTTGAGAGAGTTTCTAATGCTTCGGAGCCGCCATGAGGTGGTTTCCACACCAAATTGTCCAGTTATACATTCTATGGATGTGTGCATTAGTATAGCTTGCGAGACTAGCCTGGATTTTAGTATAATACTCAGTATTGACTATCAATCACATCAAGCATTAGCTGTTTGCCAGCCCGCTCAGCTTCATTCTGACACGCTGCCCCATACCACGGATGCATTTCGAGCGAGAAGCTTCAATGTGCCATTGTGGTGTTGTTACATTTCGCAAGGTTGGGGCAAACTGCCCACTCTATCGGAGTCTCCAGGCATCTCAGGTTCTTTCTTGCCACTCTGTTCAGGCCATCTCCTTTTCCTGGAGACCTGGCTGGCACAGACCGCCAGCGACCCTTTGAGACTGCTCCTGGCGGCTGGGGGCCCCAAAATGGTTTGTGAGAAGGAGACCAATGACATACAGTGCTTTCAAAGAGAAGCTGGCACAAGTTATATATCCCAAGTTAGGTGGTTTATATGGACCCCCATAATGTCCCTTGTTGATGGACCATCCGTGAACGGAACATGTTTTTTTTGAACAACCTTTGTTTGTCGCTGGATTTCAAGTTAGCCAAAGGTGGCAAGAGATAGCCGCCAACTCAATTTAGGCAAATTGGAGCAGCTTAGCAGCCAACGATTTTAGCAAAACGATCTCCTAAACACGCTGGCTACAACAGACAGGAAAATGAGCACGAGGTGGCGCCCCCAAAGTTAGGAGCAAGGGACATATACTGTAGTGAAATCACACCAGAGACTAGCAGAGCATACCTTCAGTCATTCTGACTGAAATTGTCGGACAGAAGGTGGGTTTGGTTCAGCATGCCACCGACTCTGCGCATGATTGTTTGAAAGCATGGAGAAAGACCTAACCTTCAGACGATTGTTTGGTGGTGACCGGACTGCATTCTGATGTGACGGAGGTCTGCCTTGTGCTGATACCGCTGGGTGGTGGTCCCAAAGACCTTCTGAAGGACGTGCCGACATGGCGGGAGCTTGACTGGATCAGTCGTAGGGCAACGTAGGTTTCCAAAGGCACCGTCCATTGCAGCAATGGCTTGCCAACATAAGCACCACTCTGCCAATACTTCCCCAGCCTCTCCGTTCAAATTTCTCTCTTTTGGCTGAAGCCACGGGAATTCCCCGGGCTGGTTCCAAGCCAAGCAGTAAGCGTTTTCCTTTTGTCTGTTTGGTCTTTTCTTGGTCTTCAGAGTTAGCTTGCCACTCCACCGCAGCTCAGGGAGCTCCCCATCCCGTGTCATATTGCTTGCCCCTGAATCACTACAGCATCCGACAGCTTTAAGCACCAACCATCGGTTGCAGCTACCTTGGCACTAGCACTCGGCATTTGGCGTCGCTCTGGAACTGCAGCATGCACATTCCCACGGGAATGCATTTTCCATTGTGAAACTGAATTTCATGAGGGGGGTTCAGATCCTTCTTCTCCTTAGACAGTCCAAAGCAACCGATTAAATGCACACATGGTCAAATCGATCCACGTCAATCCTGATTGCCTATCTCAGCCACGAAACCGTCCATCCCCAAAGTCAGATAGCCTCTTACCAAATGAATGGATTCCATGGGTTCTTGGACTGAGTAGCCCAGGAGTTTGGCGCGAGCCTTCTAATGGTGGTCACCATGTTGCCGCCAGGTTCGTGAGAGCCTCAGGAAAGTCAGGGTCTAGAGCTTCCTTGGGGTCTGATATGCGAATCAAAGACGTCTCCTTCAATGTCAGCTTCTGGATGGCTGACGTGGATGGCTCCAATGGCTTCAACGGCAGGGGGGGCAGGGGCCCAGGGGGTAGAAGCTTTTAGATCCTTGTGCAAGTGCGCGTTCGGAGTCGTGAAGAAAGCAACAGCTTCACAGCTACAGCTGAACTGTTTGAGTCACATCGCCAAATCGCCAGCTTGAACCGATGCCCGGCAGCTTCAAGGTTTAGGACCCTGTAGTTGGCCTTGGTCCCGGCTGAAACCCATGGTGGCATGCCGAACCCGAACCGATTCGGTGCCCCACACGAGGAGGAGGAGGACGGATTTCTGGGGGGAGGTGATCCGGAAGTTTGGAGGTTTGAACCGATTTCGATAGAATGTCCAAGAATCCGAAATAGCATGTGCGGCATGTATCTCCCTACCACTGGTGCGACTTTGTTTGGAGGGCTACGGCTTAGGAGGGTTAACATTCAACACACAATGGAAGTTCCCCAGCCGTCTCAGCCAGGGCAAGAAGCCTAGTGTGAGTTGTCGTGCTTCCAGTTTCTTATATACATGTTACATGTTGCTGATATTCCTGTTGCTATTCTGTTTGTATTTCTTCTTCTACTTCTTCCGCAAAGTGCTGGAAACCAATCCGCTGGTCTATGCATCTCACACTGTACCGATTTTCTTCGCAGGAAAAACTAAGACCTCTTGCAACCTGGGACGGGTCCTACAGGTTCTGCCCCTGCCGCTCCTATAGCGCTCGCGCATCATCAACCGTATGGTTCCGTGCGTGTCGCTGTGGAGGAGGACCTCCTAAGAGGGCGATGGAAGGCAAAGAAGGCCCAGAATAGTGACATGGATGAGGACTTGCTGCCCTTCAAGTCGCCTGAGATTTTCTCAATGGTTTTTGCTTTATAGTAAGGGCTCCGCCCTGGTGCCGCCGACCCCTTTTCTTGGGGGAGGAGCTGGAAGACCAGAAGCCGGACAGGGATTGCTATAACCATACACCGGCTATGTCCTCAAGACTCTGTATTCTTGATTCCTTTTCACGAAAGCTAGCATGCTAGCTGACTTCTTCGTTGCTTTAGCAATTGGTAGTGGGATGAGCTGTGTGCCTTAAACCTTGATATATCACACTGGTGGTGCTTGCTGCCGGTGGTGCTGCCGGTGGTGCTGCTGCTGCTGCTGCTGCGGCTTGATGCTGCGCTGCTGCTGCGTGGTGCTGCTGGCTGGCTGCCGGTTGGCGGTTGGTGCTGGCTGCTGGCTGCAGGCGGCTGCTGCTGCTGCTGGCCGCTGCTTGCCGCATAGGACTTGTACTTCACCGTTACAAGTTGTTCACCCCTAGTTCTAACCTAATGCACGCAGAAGCGGGTGGCAAATTTACCCCCCAGGCTTGCTATAACCATACACCGGCTATTTCCTCAAGACACTCTATTCTTGATACCTTTTACCAGTGCTTATCCTACACTACGGACGCCCTACTGTATGTGCAGTCCGTATGATGTCAGAAATGCTTACCCCTCAAGGCATACAAAAGCGGCGGGTAAATTTACCCCCCAGATTTGCGGAGCACGCATCGTCGTGCTTGCCAACGAGTGCACCCGGGTTGTTCCAATGTACCCTGCCCAGTCAGCGATGTCGCATTTACATTCTCTAGCGCCAAGCATGTACATAGCAACCTTCCTCCCAAAACATGTAATCCCTACACGCTTTGCCGACTATGTAACTAGTACATCCGGTGCGACTTGGCTAGCTTTCGACCTCCTCCCCCTGGGCGCGGCCCTGCTGGGTGCCGGGAGGCTTTTGAGGGCTGGCAAACGGCGCTTTCGAAACGCCTAAGGAGTGACATGCACCGGCTTTGGCAGGCAAGGCTGCGGTGTAGGCATGTGCAGCCAAAGGTCCCGGGAAGGGCTGTGGAGCCTGGCCAACGGCCCTGCTGGGTGCCGAGAGGC